AGCTCTTAAAATCCCAACACAAAGTCCTGATTCAAAGTCCTTTTTCACCACCATGCACATAGTCCTCAATTTTACACCTAAAATCTTTAAGGCTTCTTGTATTATGCATGGCTTTCATAAGTAGTTGCCACCAGTTAAAATGATTGTGTTATTGATGCTTTGGCTAGACATGCCTCTGCCTATGCTACAGACTCCTAAGTTATAGTAGGTTCAGTTAGGTCTGCTTCTGCATCAGATGGAGTTGCACTTATTTAGTGACTCAGCAACAATCAGTTAGCTTTGAAGTCTTTTAATAGTGCTGAAGCACTTACTTCAGCAACTCTTAAGAGTTTTTTAAATGATTGCAATAATTTCTTTGCTTTAATTCCTTCATTTTAACATAGGAAAATGAAATGCAAAAAAACTAGAATCCTTGAAAGATTTAGGCTAAAAGTTAATTACTGAGGAGTCAAGACATTTGTGAAGTTAAATTTTCTAATGCACAAATGTCTATTAAGGATAGTAATTAGTTCAGGATAAGAGATAAGGTATTGTTTGGTGTCAGAAAATGGCAAGGGACAGAAAGCAAAGATTTACTGCTTTCATTTTATGAGGGATAAAGCACTTGAATTGCAATATGGCAAAAGGATAATAATAGGATTCCTCAAAATTCTGTTTAATGCAAAATGGTAAGTAAACCTCTATTTGATGTAATTGTCAATAATTTGGGGGAAAGGACAAGCAGGAAGGTGGTAATATTTAGAGATGGTATAAAATTACTTAGGTTAATATAGAGAGAGCTATGAGGAACTTCAAAGACCTCTAACACAGCTCAGTGAATGAGCACCACAATGGTAGAGGAAATTAATCATTGACACATGCAAGGGAATGTACATGGGAAGGTATAATTTCAGCTATTCAGATATCTTGCTAGGTTATAAATTAGTTGTAGCCCTTGAGGAAAAGACTTGGTCATTACTGCAGATAGTTCAATGACAATCTCTATTCAATGTGCAGCAGAGCTCAAAACAAACAATATATGCAGAAAAAAAATCAAATTAAATATAGTGTTAAAATATTATAATACCACTATGCTATTCCATGGGAAATTGTGTTTGCTTCTTCGTACCTATCTCAGAAAAAATAGGAAGTGCTTGGAGATGGATACTATAAAAATTATTAGAAACCTGGAGAGTTTTTTATAAAAGGAGAGAGACTGAAAATACTTGGGCTATTTTGCTTAAAAGGAGGCCAAATCAGATGAAATGTGGTAGGAATATACCAAATAAAGAATGGTATAAAAGGGAGGTATCAGGTGTTCCTACTGACATTCCCACATGGGGAAAGAGAAAACCACACTGAAATGCAAATCTTAAAATTGATGGAAGTAAATAATATTTTATGCAATACATAACTGATCTGTATAACTCATTGCTTCAGGATATCACTGAGGGCAACAGGATTAGCAAAATTAAAATACAGACATTTACGTGAATATTGAGAACACTGGCTGTTATATTAGAACAAAATATACACATATATGCACACTTACTTGGAATACAAAGTCTCATGAATAAGATGCATAACTTATCATCACTGGGACAATAAGAAGAGACTTCCCTTACAAGATGTATAGCTCATGACTGTCCACTATGGCATGCTTGCCTTCCTCTGAAGCAGCTTTTTCTGGCTAACATCAGATACAGGTTACTGGACTAGAAAAAAACACTGGAATGATCCGGCCTGGCAATTCCTATCGTCGTATGTACTCCTCGCATGAAAATCTGGCCCCGGTAAAGTGAATGGCAAAACTTCAATACCCGTTCATTAATCTGATTTGTTTCTGAGTTGTCTGCAGCTTACTTCAGGCAGCACAAGGAGAGTGTATTATATTGTTATTGTATTTCAACATTGCCTTGTAGGACTGTTTTATTATTCCCTGATTCAGCTACTTTCTTTCAGTTTTGCAGTTCTAAATGTCCCTCTGGATCTTGTGTCATTAGATAAAACAAAAAGATAAGCATTTTGTAGAATTCCTACCACACACTCCTGCAGCATTTCGGTGCAAAGTGATGCAACAGTCAGACATTCCCTTGGGGGGACGGAAGATGCAGTATGCAAAGTTATAGGAATGGATTTCATTGTACGTTTTGCAGTTTACGCATCTCCATTTTCAAACAATAAACACTAACAATAGCCACAGAGAAATTTTCAGTATAACATGTCAAAGCTCTTTACCAGTATACATAGAGCCACCCCCTATCACAGTGGAGGAAAACAGGGGTATGCGAAGCTGGCACTATTCGGTTCAGATTCGGCCCAAATCAGGGACAATGATTCAATTAATTGATTCTGATCACTGTCCCTGATTCAATTGGGCTGAATCCAAATCTGAAGATTCGAGGCTGATTCGGACATAGATGCAGCTTTAAAAGTTTTTTCTACATACCTTGAGGTAGCAGCGCAGCTTATGATTGCTGTGATGTTGGGGCGGATGTAGCATCTCACAGGAGTGTGGGGGGGTGCCCTCCACATGCTTGGCAGTGAACCCAGAAGTGGACCAGAAGTCTGCCGGGGAGTGTGCTGGGGGGGCCTCTGCTGCATTCCCTTGGCTTGGTGATTGGCCGCGGGGGGACCCCGGGTACACCCCCAGACCCAGGAGGCACCAGTCACCAAGCCAGGAGGGCGTGGGGGGACCCTGCTGCATGCTTCCCAGTGGACCCAGATGTGGACCGAAAGTGCTTCTGGTCCGCTTCTAGGTCTGCTGCTGAGCGCACTGGGGAGCCCCCCGCGCTTCTATGGGATGCTCCATCCGCCCCAGCATTGAAGCGTTCACGAGCTGCCTGCTACCTAGAGGTATGTAGAAGAAACATTTAAAGCTGTGTCTATGTCCAAATCGCTGAATCTTCCAAATCTCTCAAAATTGATTCGGAGGGTTCTGATTCGATTCAGAAAGATTAAAGGGTCCTCTGATTGGATTTGGATTCAGAGATTTGGCCACCGAGGGTTCTGACTTGATTCAGAGATATTAAAGGGTCCTCTGATTCAATTCTTATTCAGAGATTAGGCCACTGAATTGGGCCGAATCTCCGCCGAATCAAATCAGGGGACCGAAGCTTCACATAGCCCTAGAGGAAACACTGTTATCCTTAAGGCCTAATTGTATGGGACACTTAGCATGTGTTTTATCTGAGATTGTAATAAGCATTACTGTGTTTTGTAGTAAAAGTAAGAATACGTTCAGAGCAGTCACACAGTAATGCTTATTACGATCGAGGACTGTTGGTCTCAGCCATCACTCAGCACCAGAATCGTGCGCCAGCTCTAGTGCTGGGCTGGGGCTCAACTGACAATTAGATGATTGTCAGTCCCAGCCCCTGCACCACACCAGAATCTTGAACCATCTGTGGTGAGGTGCTGGGGCTGAGACTGAAAATCATTTTATTGCCAATCTCAGCCCCAGGACTGTGCTAGAGCCAGTTCAAGACTCCCATGCAGTCCTAGAGCTGATAACCACAGTCAGTGGATTGTAGGTCCCAGCTCCAGGACCACAATTATCTCTTTGGAGCAGTCCAACATGAGCTCAATGCATGTTACTTAATATAAACTGGAGATACTTCTCACTCAAAAAGGCATAGTTTTATTACAATACAATATGCTAGGAGATCACTTAGCACATGTTATCCTGCTTGAACACACGGACACCAGTGCTTTAAGTACATTTAACATGTGCTAAGTGTCCCATGTGACAGGGCCCTAAAACAAGATAGTGACAAAAGTCAAGATTAAAACCAAGGCATCCTTTGCTCTACCTATTAGCTAAGTCTTTCCTTAATTTGAATTTGGAATAGTAAAAATTTCTAAATAATTAAGACACAATTCATAAATGGAAAATAATGTGAATGATGCCTTTCTTGAAAGCTAGGGAACCACAGAATTAAAGGGAGATAAAATGTGGTTAACTAATTGAGGACAGTTCCTGTTGAGCAGTTACATTCAATAAAGGTTGGTCAATGCAATTTGCTTTTGATTGCCCCTTTACATTGTATTATGTGAAATAATGGGTTCGGTGGACATATATTAACTGATGTTGCTTCTTCCTATTTAACATTTCAAAGCTCTAGCCATCAAAATTCCCATCCAAGTCACTATCATATCATGTCTTGACTACTGCAAATTCCTTTTCAAATCCCAGCACATGTGAAAGCCCACAGAGAAGTTCATAGAGGGGCAGAGCTATGACTGATGGGCTTGCAGAAGGGCAGAGAAATCCAATGAAAAAGAGAAAGGAAACAACTGGAGATCTGGAAGGCTGTTTTTTTCAACTACTGGTCCTAAACTGTGCATGTTCAACACAGGCATAAAGTTATGAACACAAGTTCACAGGTATGTACAAGTGCATGGAGTATGAGACTGCATTCACTTGCCTATTTTGGATATGTGGTTGCTTGTTTTCAGCAGACAATTTCTGACCTATTTTATGGTTGCACCATAGGGCACTGTTAAGACAGCATGCCCCATGTGTCAGCATAGATTTCAATAAGGGTTGGCAGCGTAAGAACCTGGGTTTTATTCCCAGGTGTGCCACTAGTCTGTTGGCAAACCCTGGACAAGTTATGTTATTTTGCTATGGTCAAATATCCCCACCTGTAAACTGGGATAATACGGGCATCCTTTATAAAGCACTTTGAAATTTCTTGATGAAAAGTATTGCATACAAACTATGCATTACTATTATCACCACCACTGAGCTCTAATTGTGCCACTACTCTGTTGGCAAACACTGGACAAGTTGTTATTTTGCTATGGTCAAATATCCCCACCTGTAAACTGGGATAATACGGGCATCCTTTATAAAGCACTTTGAAATTTCTTGATGAAAAGTATTGCATACAAACTATGCATTACTATTATCACCACCACTGAGCTCTAATTCTTGGACATAATATTCTTTACCATCACAAGGTGGCATAAACGATAAAACATGTTGAGACAAACCAGGAAGAGAGCTCTCTTCTTACCTGCCTTAAAGATCCATTCCAAGTACCCATTTAGCTCTCGTTCAATCTGCTGCTGCCTACGGAGCTTCAGAAAGGCTCGGCGGTTTTCCACCCTCTCACGCTCTTTGGCAAATTCACTAGAGAGATAGAAAGAGTGAGAAAGTGAGTCAAACAAGGTCAGGGCAAACAACTCCTTCCTCCATCAATGCATTTCTTCAAACCCTTTCTTAAAGCTCATGATGCTTACAAAATACTTAATGGTTACACAGCTGGCATGTTGAAACTACTGCCTATCATGCTATGTAATACTGACTCACTGTTTCCTTCAACTCCTCTGCAGGCCTCTCTCTATCCACTTGCTATCTCTAGCCTTATCCTTATCTCTATTGCTTCCTTTTAGTCTATGGGTTTTCTTAGGCTTGTGCTGAGCTTCACAAGTGCAAGTTGAACTTGAACCATGAGTGATGACAGGCACTTTGCATCTATGGTCAAAGAGGAAGGGCCTGCTGTGTGCTAGTTACATGGGAGAGAAGTATATGAACATTGAAAGCTTACTGCAAGCAGGACCATAAAGAGGATGCTGACAGGAAGTACCCAAATCACACATGCAAGAAACAGAAAGACCCATTTTGTCAACCGTCTCATCCATCCTCTGGCCAAGAAAATGATTATACGTTATATTTCCAGCCTGCTTTTAAATTACCATGATACGGGTGCCTCCACCTCTTCCCCTATGGGGCTATTCTGCAACCTGTTCAACTTCACTTCTACGAAGCTTCTGATAGTCAACCTGAATTTTCCTTTGTTGATTTTCAGCCCATCATTGGCTCTGTCACAGAGGTTTACATTAGTCTAACACAGTCCCTCCCTATGTTCAGTGGCTAAATTTCAATCTCACTAACAGAGGTAAATCCAAAATAACATCAGTGAAGCCAATGGAGTACACGCTTATGAAAACTGATGTAAAGGAGATCACAATCAGAGCCTTGGTTTTCACACAAGGCAAATGCCTACAGATGGTTCTCTTCTCCCCACCCCAGCAGTCATTCTTCAGTGTGTTCAGTCCCTGCAGCCCTTCAGCTAAATCTTGTTTTCTTTTCTGTATTTCCATGTGAAGCATCCAAACATAATGTCCAAACATACGCCACAGTTAAAGCCAGGAAGAGTGGGGAGAAAGGGGTTACAGGTGCCTGAGGCACTTTCGTATCATGTCCATGATCTTCATTTCATCTGCCAAAATGGACACTTCTGTTTCATCTGGAGGAACTGTCCAGCCTGTTAAGAAGGGTCTGTAGAGGGGGCTTGACTCTGCAGCATGACACATCAGTGAAGTAGCTGCCCCTTGCTTTTGGCCCCATCATCTCAGTTTTCCGATTGCCGTCTCCTCTTCCCCTTCAGACAACATGACCTGTGACCCTACTCTTTGGGCAGAGGAGCAGAAGTATCACGTTATGCACCAAGCACCAGCTTTGGCATTCAGCATCTGTCTGTTTTGTGATCCAAAACCCAGCACATGTCAACTTGGACACTGATTTTCTTTATTCTTTCTTTTTAATGTTCTCCTTTCTGGTTCAGTGCCTGTTGGTCTGGGCCACAAGCCCTCCACTCAGATTTGATTTCTCTCTGAGAGAGGAGGAATGCGATCTGACAGGACCAAGTGACAACATGCATATAAAACTACCACGCATGGAGGTACAGCTGGGCTCTACAGTGTTGCAATGCAAATTATATAGGGATAGACTGTGCCAGACATAGGTGTCAAGCAATGCCCTTGAGGGAAGAACTCCGTGAAGAATTGTATTTCCATACAGTACAGCATGGATGCGCAGTCACAATACACAGCAGGCAGGAAGCACATATGTGAACTATAGCCCTGCCTCCCCAGACCCTAGACAAAGAGGTTCCTTGCATATACAACACAATCTGACCCAAAGGAATTAAGAACAAATTCTATTTAAGGTTAAATATACTCCTGCCTTATCGACCTGGAGAGACCCTGTAATAAAATGAAGCAGAAACTGTGCTAGGATATAAAATGTTAAAAGAACCAAGCCAGATATAAGCAGGATGTCAGTCTAAGTCATCAAGCTTGACCTTGTTACAAGCTCCAGCCAACAGTGCCTGACAGAGTACGCTGCACATAAGCACATATCACAGACTCAGGCCCTGCAGACACAAAGTTATAGTGAACCTTGCCAGGAGCAACCAAATAAAAAATAAATTTCTTCTCAAGATTATAATGCCACAGCACTGCCTCATCCAAGAGTCAGACCGACTACCCACCCAGGCCTCTTGTTCCCTGACGTTGGCTTCCCTTCTTACCTAGATTCTAAACTTGGGAGGGAAAATTTTCCCTTGTTTTCTTATATTATGAATTTTATTCTTCTAATGTAGGAAGATGAACTGGAGATGGAAACACTGTTTTTGTCCAAAGAATGAAATCGGTATGGACTGCAGTTCTCCAGCAACAACTCTCTAGCATGTCCTGAAGAGAACCATCCAGGAGACTATAGATCAATCAGTCTGACCTCTATACCTAAAAAGATCATGGGCCAGGTCCTCAAGGAATCCACTGGAAGCACCTAGAGGAGAACAAGGTGATCATGAATAGCCAGGAAAGATTCAACCACAGAAAGTCATGCTTGACGAACCTGATTTTATTCTATGATAAGGTGACAGGCTCTGTGGATGGGGAAGAGCAGTGGATGTGATATACCTTGACTTTGGAAAGGTTTTTGACAGTCTCTCACAACATTCTTATTAACAAGCTAAGGAAATACAAACTAGATTAAAGTACTGCATAACTGATTGGATCACTGTACTCAACAAGTAGTCATCAATTGCTCAATGTCTAGTTGAGAGGAGGTATCAAGTGGGGTTCCCCAACAGCCTGCCCTAGGTCCAGTATTGTTTAATATCTTCATTAATTATTTGGATGATGGGATCAAGTGCACGTTTAGCAAATTTGCAGATAATACCAAGTTGGGTGGAGTTGCAGATACCCCACAGAGTAGAGCTAGGATCCAGAATGACCTAGATAGACTGGAGGAATGGTTCACAATCAATCAGATAAGATTCAAGAAGGACAAAGGTAAAGTCCTGCACTTTGGATGGGATAATTGCATGCACAAATACAGACTGGGGAATGACTGGCTGGGCTGCCGTACTGAAAACAAGGTCCTAGGGGTTACAGTAGACCAGGGGTGGGCAAAAGGCGGCCCACCAGGCCATTCTATCTGGCCTGCAGGGCCGCTAAAAAATTTAGAAAATTAATATTTATCTGCCCCTGGCTGCCTGTCATGAGGCCCTCAATGGCTTGCCAAAACTCAGTAAACGGCCCTCCACCCAAAATAATTGCCCGCCCCTGCAGTAGACTATAAGATGAATATGAGCCAACAGTGTGCTCTTGTTGGGAAAAAAAAAGGCAACACACAGAGGAGCGTCGCTTGCAAACCTAGGGAAGTGATTCTTCTGCTCTATTCAGTACTGGTGAGGCCTTACCTGGGTAGTGTGTCCAGTTTTGGGTCCCACACTTCAAGAAGGATGTGGATTGGTTGGAAGCAGTCCATCATAAAGCAACAAAAATGATTAGAGGCAAGATTTATGAGGAAAGGCTGAAAGTACCAGGGCTACTTACTTTGGAGATGAAAAATTGAGGGGGATTTGATAACAGTCTTCAAATACCTGAAGGGCAATTATAGAAAGGATGGAAATGGATTTCTGTCTCTGGCCAATGGTGGACAGGACTAGGACCAATGGCCTCAAGGTACAGTAAAGGAACATTTAAGTTGAAGATTAGGAGGAACCTTTTGACTATGAGGGTGGTCAAGCACTGGAACAGGCTACCTGGAGAAACTGAGGCATCTCCATCCTTGGAAGTTTTCAAGCACAGGATAGACACACACTTGATTGGGATGATTTAGCTGGGGATGATCTAGCATTAGCTGACTTTGTGAGGTCCCTTCCAGCTCTGCTTTCGTATGATTTCTGGGGACTACAATACCTACAGTTTCTCTAGTCTTTCATATCTCTTTTCCAAATTTCATCAAGGCAAATAAGCCCCTTCATGTTCAACAGAGGCACCATCAGTATACATCCAGCCTATTGATTACATATAAGAATGCTGAAGTATAGATGAAAATATAAATACAATTCATCAGAATTCATTTTGCTTAAACTTGTTTACCTACTGCCACAAATGCAGTGCCAGCAAGTACAAGAGACCCAGTGAATGCTCTAACACCCAGTGGCTTCAAGGATTTCGCCCCCAGACAACATCTCTTCCTTTCTCACATACTCAACTCAACAATGATCACATTCTGGGGTTGCGCATCTTTGCAGCTCCATACTTGCAATGAAAAGCAGTCACTGATTCCTGCCTCAGTGTGCTCCTAAGCAGGCAGGCAGGTATACTAGGGGAAGGGAAGGTAGAAGCCTATCTTATGCAATGCTTGGAAGAGAGAGAAAAGAAATCAGCCTCTAGAGCATCTGCACCCAGGTATTTCCACATTTGGAGTGTGCAAGCAGGATTGGAGAGAGGGACAGGAATGGAGAGAGGGAGCATACTTGGGAGGGACCCAGCTGGAGCTTGCCACTGCGGCCATGGAGACATACACTCAGGCTATGCTCCTACTGGTTTCCTGTGTGATCTTAGCCAAGTCACTCAACCTCCCCAAGTGTCATTCCCCCATCAGTAAAATGGGGACATTAATTCTTACCCATCCCAGATGAAAGGTGCTATAAATGAACTGCTTATTTTTAATTATTATTATATATAATTAACTTCTTATTCAGAAGCATATTGCTGTGCTGCACATAACTTATCAGAACACGACTCCTAAAATAGAACTACAGCGATAGGCCATTGAATTTAAAACAGTGCTCAGAAAGCAAGCCAAGAGAAAGAGGGAAATGAAACGTAGATCTAGCAAAGGAGCTTCATCACCACCCACTATCCACCGCAGTGAGCTAGCAGCCTGCAAAGGCCCCTTCATTTTGGACAAAAAAAAAGAACCTGTGTTAAAGACAATTCTATTCTAAAGCCCTATGATTCAAGCCACTTCACAAAAGCAGGGGAGTAATGAAGGGCTATGTTGATTTTGCGGTATGTGGAAGTTGATGGGAAACAGTCCTGCAT